GAGGCACCTCGCCGTTTGTGCTGGGGCCGAGTTTCCCAGAGAGATAGGCGCTCGCCTTCTTGCCACTGTTGCATGCGGTCCACCGTAAAGGCAGCGGCAACTTTCCGGTGCCGCTTACCCCCCCTCAAGGGGGAACAGAGGCTACTCTGAGGAAGCATTAGAAGTTCACGCCAGGCCCGCTCATCGTTCCGATGCGCGACCGCAGCAAGGGCCCTTGTCAGCAGCTGGCACCAAGTGTGTCGAGCCGCTGCAGGAACATGCCTGAGGGTAGGCGTGCGAGCGGACTGAATGGCCTCGAAGCTCGGGAGCTGCAGGCCCTCCACCTCCATGGGATGGCCGCCATCCACTGCAGCAGCACGGGCCTCTGGCTGACAAGTCGGATGCACAGCGTGTCGCTCCGACACACTGAGGCCGCACACTGGGCAGCGCATGCGTTGACGGGCCTCCAGCCAGGCAGCAGGAATGTCTCCAGCCAGTGTCCCGGCTAGGTGGGCGTCGATGTGTGACCGCATGCTGGCGTCATTCGCCCAGCCACGGGCTCGCATGGGATCGTGGCATGGGCAGCCCTCCACAGGGCAATAGACTCTGCCAGGCCTGGGCGTCGGGCGGCTGGCGCGATGAATCGGGGACCGCTCACGCCGGTCAACATCCTGGGCCGGTGATGCCGCCGCTGGTCCGGGGAGATCAGCCTCCCCAAAGCGTCGACCTCGGCTGGGCCATCCACACCAGTGCCGAGAACGCTGAGGCCAGGCCCGCCAGTTTGCACGCTGCTTCTTGAAGAGACAACGACACCGTCGGCGGAACAGTGCACTGGCTTGTGGCGGCCGCCAGATGTTATGATCAGGGGCAGGCGCTTCGCTGTCTCTCCAGACAATGTTCAAATGTTCAGTGAGTCTGCGCCGCTCACCCCTCCCGATACTGCCCAAATCATCGTAGGGAGACGATCTTCTCCCCGAGCTCTGGGCCCCAACACCAGTTAGGACTCGCAACGCAAGAAACAGCCAGCAGAGGATTTGTTGGGGCCCCGGAGAAGGCGCCATTGCGCGGGGGCGGCTTTCTTATGAAAAATATATTAATAATATTTTCGCGGAGCGTCTATAATCCGCAATTGCTGACATCATATCAATCCCCCTTGCCCATATCCCCCCAATCAATCCAATCTCAAATCGGAGGGTGGTCCATACCTCGGAGGCCTGATATATATGCCTCTTAGAATTCAAATATATATGTATCTCGTTTAGGGATATATTACCTCCTGTCACACAAGGGCTCAATTTAGATTCATATGAATGATTCATAAATATTCTTTTTCATTTGAATTCCTTGCAAAATGCTCTTCCCACAAGATCATAGATCGAGCCTAATTTCTGAATATGATGGATAAAGTGGAATTTGACGTCACGCTTTGTATCATCGAATATTTTTTATTTTCGATAGTTTGTCTCATTTTTGATTCAGAAATTTAGGAATCTTCGAATTTCCTTTCATTTTCATCTTTCTAAGATATCTCATAATTAGGGGTGGTGATGGACTTTTAAGCACATCGAAGTGTCTTAGAGAATTCGAAATTCTTCTTATGTATCTGGATATAAATTCCCTTTCATTTGTATAAGTGTATATGCCGCTCGAGCGATATCAGCCAAGGGAAGAACCAACACCACTACAAGAACTATGGCTCTTCATTCCAGGGAAAATAATAGATTAGCTACCAATCGCCCTATCCAGGGCAATCCGACCTCTTCAAAACGAAAATCTAACCGTAATAAGGGATGACTCTTTGGAACTGCTTCGTATCAGATAAAAAATACTTTTGACATCAAGTATTATTCTTTTACTCCCTCTCTTTTTGTGCCTCCCCATCTCACTTACCCCTCGTCATTCACTCTTGGGTGACGATTACCATGCCTCGTAGTCCGCTCCTCCCAAATCGGATTTTTCTTCCCATGCAATAGTTCCCAGACTAGCCTTTCCGATCCAATAAGGGGTCTGGCCTCCTCGTATTCTTCGAGACAGGAGAATAAATATCTTCGCATACCTGACGTCCACATCGGGACCAGACCCACCTTTGCGACCCCAAACCGGGTGTCTGGGCCCTTTCCGGGCCCTTACTTCTTTTGCTCCTTTTCTCTGGTCCAGCAAAGCCTGTTCTGTCTCAATCTCGGGGGGCTACCCTACTAGCCCCACGCGGCTATTTCAGCAGCTTCACAAGCTAATCCTCGCCCTCAGCCGTAAGATGCATGTCCGCTATACTCCTACGCAACCCTTCTTTACGCGCACTCACTCCGAGCCCATTGGCTCCGGGGCCACTGTGCCCTTAAGGAAGCTTGGTCGCATTTATTTACTCGCCATCTCGAACCGCTCGCGGAGAGCGGCGATGACGTCTACGGAGCTGCTCTGCGATGCGGGGGGGGAAGTTGGTGTCGGCCGCAGTAACGTCTGTGGGTCATTACACTCACTCACTCACTCACTCACTCACTCACTCACTCACTCACTCAACAATGCATGAATATATTTTCTGTTTTAAAAGAAATTTCTCGATGAGGAAATTTCTTTCATTTCTTCTCATCTAAATATTTATATTTTCAAGGTCGTGATTTCAATATCAAAATTAGAATTCCTGAATATCATTAGATCATATTTGAAAAAATTATTCTTGAAGATTCTGATTCCATTTTATGAGATTCTCTTTTTCCAAGATTCAATATTCATAATATGAACCAATCGCTCAATTTCTCAAAATGTATCGGAAAAATCAAAGATGTCACCGATTCTGTCTTCTACCAGCTATCGCGAGATAGATATATCAAGGTCAGTAGAGTCATACAGCGAATGTCTTAATTGGGGGTGTGTATGCTTCGCGATTTGGGGGGTCAACGAACATAGGGGATCCCCAATATAGCCCTCACATTGCAGGGTTCCCTTACACTAGGGATCCCCAAGAAGGTACCCCCTAATTTGGGAAACCCCCATTTGTTGGGGAGATTTCCTGAAGCGACTGCAATTCGCAAGGGGCTTCCAGCCTTCGCAGGCTTGGGGGGTCGACCATGAGAGCTTGCAAACTTTTCCACTTCCGAATCCCGTCAAAGAAGCTGCGCCGAGGCGCTTGAGATACAAGCACGGCTTTGGCGCCAAACGCGTCTGGCCGCAAGGTGCAGGGGTTCTGCCCAACTCATACCCACATGGCCCGAGCTTTGAGTTTCAGGTGAAATGCTTGAGGAAGCCCTTTTCATCTTCAAGCTCAGCAGTGAGCCTCTCGATGTTGCCGTCGAATCTCCGTGCGACCTCCTCGCCATCCTTGCTTGGTAACTCCGTAACCATCTCATATCAAACCTTCTCAACCCATTTTTTGGGTTGGCTGCTTTCTAAGGGGATTTAGAACCAAAAAAATCACCAAGGGATAAGGGCACCACTGGGCTACCAAGCAGCTGACATTCTTGCCAGGTAGCGCTCCTGGCAGGAGGGGATGTAGAGGGTTAGGGGTTTGGGGTTTAGGCTCCCAAACCGGATCCCTACAACGACTTCGCTCTAGCTCCCCTACCTCTCTTCCTCTCTTCCTCTCTACCTCTCACCCTAAACCCTAAACCCTAAACCCTAAACCCTTATCCTGACGGAGGAAGGCCAGCTTCATCTCCAACTTTGCTTGGTTTGCGGAGATGGCCCGCAGGGCGACGCCCGAGGCCCTCTTCATCAGCGCCCCGGGCCCGGCCGCCTTCACCTGCACCATTGCTGGGGTACTATTCTAAATATGATCATTTTCCTTCCTTATTGGGTTTAAGTATTCAAAAAATATAGAGGTACTATTCTAATTAAATATGACCACATTCCTTCCTTATTGGGTTTATAACTATTCAAAAAGATACAGAGTGATGTTCAGCAATGACCCAGTCACGGCTCCGGTCACGGTACCGGCGATCATGCGGGAGATGATCGCGGCTGGGGCCACGCCGAAAATGGTGGCATCCTAAAGGGGCGACCCTAAACAATAAACCCTAAACCCTAAACCCTAAACCCTAAACCCTTCCACAGCTGCAGATCTGCCGGATGTCTACAAAACTTGGTAGCGTTTCGTACATGAGCCCCCATCTGAGCTCATAGTGGTGACTTCACGAAATTAGGGGGTACCTTCTTGGGGTCCTCATTAGAAGGGAATCCTACTATTCGGGGGGTTTAGGGTTTAGGGTTTAGGGTTTAGGATTTTCGTCAGCCCCATCTGCAAGTCCTCATTGCCACAGGCCAGGATGGTAAGGAGATCTGCGATGCCAAACATCAGGTTCTTCATGGTCAACCTCGGTAGCCCAGGAACCATATTCGAATAAGGGTACCCTATAGGAATAAGGGTTTAGGGTTTAGGGTTTAGGGCTAGAAGCCCCGTAACCATATTAGAATAAGGGTACCCTATTATAATAAGGGTTTAGAGTTTAGGGTTTCGACTCTCACACTCGCACAAGGCCGGCAAGGCATCGGTTGGTCGGTGAGGGTGTAGGGCTTAGGATTTGTTTAGAATAAGGGTACTCTTTTTGGGTTGGTTACTTTGTAAGGGAACCTTGAACCAACAAAAAGGGAAAAAGGGTACCACTGACCTACCCTAAACCCTAAACCCTAAACCCTAAACCCTAAACCCTAAACCCTAAACCCTAATACCAAGCAACAGGTGGGGCTCCACACCGGAAGTATCGCCCCAATGGATCCACAAGCGCCAACAGAAGAATGGGAGCCTAGATCTGGTTGAGGGTTTTAGGGAGTAACCTAGGAATAAAAGGGGTACCATTTTTTTGGTTCTAAGGGGAATTCGAACTTTTCTCTTTATCCCCTACACTAATTATGGAGTATCAGGGAGCCCTAGCCCTTAACAAAAGTAAGTAAGGGCCTACTCCGGTCCTAGGAGCTCCAGGGTGAAGAAGGAGCGATAGGCGTCGATGAGGTGAGCGCGGCGCTGCATCGCCGACATCTGGTCATCATCCGGGCACAGGTAGGAGGTCTCACACCATCCCGAGCACCTTGGATTCCGAGGCCTCTAGGTTCCTACCGTCTTCCTTTTTCCCCACCCTCGGTGTGTTGTTGTTAGATTTTAAGCTCAACTCTTCTCCTCGCCCGGTCTACTCCTCGCTCATCCCTGGAGTGCCCAATCCCAAAGTGTCCCTGGAGTGCCCAACTCTAGAGTGTGCCAACCTCAGAGTCGTGTGCCTGGAGTGCCCAGCCCCAAATTCTCCCACCCCAGAATTTCGCTGGAGTGCCCAACCCTGGAGTGCCCAACCGCAGAGTCTCCCTGGGAGTGCCCAACACCAAAGCTATAGTGCCCAACCCCAGAGTGTCCCCGGAGTGCCCAGCCCCAGAGTCTCCCTGGAGTGCCCAACCCCAGAGTCTCCCTCGAGTGGCGCCCAACCCCCGGAGTGTTGCTGGAGTACCCAACCCCAGAGTATCTCCACCAGGAGAGGGTGGGGATGTTCGAAGTAAAAAAAAAATTATATTGGAGTTGACCCTCATCCAGAGAGCCACAGAAAAACCCTAAACCCTAAACCCAAAACCCTGAAGGTAAATGCTCGTGGTGCATTCTGGGTGCAGCTGTGCTCGGTCCGCACGGGGCTGGTTTTCGGTGGGCTGTAGTCTCTCCAAGGTGACGCCTTTCAGCATTTGAAGGCTGAGTTTAGGGTTTAGGGCTCAGGGTTTAGGGTTTAGGGTTTAGCGGTTCGAAATCTCCACTCTCCGTTGACTACCTGATACTGCAGCTTGCAAAGTGAGTGCTGATGTCCTCCCTCGTGCGCACACGACGATCTGTACATGTTGATCTCTTCACCAACCCCTCCACGCTCCTTCTTCAACGTCGCCCCAATCATACTCCACGTTGTAGGTCGCCTCCAAAAGTTCACCGGGGGATGCTTCACTGGTCAAACCCTAAACCCTAAACCCTAAACATCCCTAAACCACAGGCCTGGTTCCTCTCGCGCCGTGCAAATCCTGGATTTTGGACCTTAAAGAAGGAGTTATACTCGTCATCCTGCGGCCAGACCAGCACACGGGTGTCAAGCTCCTCCTGCTTTGCGATGTCCTCCTCGGTTACAGGATCAATGCGCGTCCTTGATCGTGAGCTGCCCGAAACCCTAAACCCTAAACCCCAAACCCCAAACCCTAAACCCAAAACCCAAAACCCTACGCTCCTCGGTCAGCTGCATGCCTTTCTCCAAGAGCATTTGGGCCCCTTCCTTGTCCAGCAAGCGGATCCGCTCCTCCAGCCTGGGCAAGGACCCCCGCAGCCCTGCAGCCAGGTCTTTAGGGTTTAGGGGGTGGGGTTTAGGGTTTAAGGTTGAGGGTTTAGGGTTCAGTGGTGCATATGCTTTCAGCAGGCTGGCTGCAGTCCAGATTCTCTTTCAGCAAGGTGTCCTGGGTCAAGAGCTGCTTCTTCTGCTCATCTGCGCTTGCTTTCGTCTCCCGATCTCTGAACCAGGTGTAGACAATGGGCGAGAGCACAGAGAAAAAGGCAGCAATCAGCCTTTCAAGGAACAGTCACCCTAAAGCCGCCTCTTAAGCTAGGGCACTCTTATTGCCCTCTTGCTGGCTGGCCAGACTCAGCTATGAACGACATGAGTCTAGGTTTAGGGTCTAGGGTTTAGGGCTCTCCGTATCCATCCAAGCCACCAGGTGAAAAAGAACATCGCTTCCCGGGTCTTATCTTCGCCTCCTGGCAACGGCACGCCCGAAGTGGAGAGGCCGTCTGCAGGGGCTTGGATGCTGGCTTCCTGAAAGAGCGAGATGAACATGAAGGCGTCAAGGATGTCCAGCCAAACTCGATTTGTAAACTCCTTGGAAGCGTGGCTCGGGGCTAGGAAGGGCGACTCCTGAAGATCCCATGTCATAACAAGAACAGCGATCCACTTGCACATCGCGAGGACGTCGTCGATACCCAGGTCGAAGGCTTGGATTCTGGTCTTCCAGAGATAGACAGTCGGGAGCTTCTTGCTGAATGTCATCTGCACGCAACACTTGACCAGGTTCTTCTGATCCTCGGCGAGGAGGAAGACGTAGCCGAAACACTCATCGACATTGTACGGCTTGGTGCAGGCCTCGCGTAGCAGGATGGCTCACCACTAGACCTTCTTCACGTATTCAAGGTTTCGACTGCGTGGTCGTGCTCTGAGGCCCTAAGTAGTCATCAAACGAGGCCGTTCATTAGCTCCCAGACTTGGTGTACCCTGTTCAGAGTTTCGACAGCAAGTGCTGCAAACCCTAAACCTTCAAACCCTTTGCAGCACCACAACCCCCTCTTGCCTCCCACTGCCCGACCTGAGCCCCTCTCGTCGTGCAACTGTGAAGGGTCTCGCCAGGTCTCGAGGTACCTGGGTTTCGACTCTAAACACAAACTCCAAACCCCAAAACCCGAAACCCTAAGACCCCAAGAATGGACTTTTCTAGGCTTTGTGCATTGAAGGCTGGCCAAATCCAACTGCGTATGATCTCAAAGAGGGGTGCCGCCAGCATGCCCCCCTAAAGTATGATAACACATTGCAACCCTTATGTTAGGAACCCCCTAAAGAGCCAAACAACGTGTTCCCTTATTTTGGGAAAACCCTCAACTGGGCCGCCCCCCTGCCCCCCCCGCCCCCCCCCCGCCCCCGAACCTCGCCCCAATTCACCACATCGTTCCGGCGGCCACAGATTCTATCAGGTTTCATAGACAAGTTCTCCCAAAACTGTATGTCGCTTGCCTCATCACTCAACGGCTGTAAACCCCAAACCCTAAACTCTCGCATCTTCCGTGAGAAGGTTGCTGGCGGCGCGAACCGATCCTTAAACCCTAAACCCTAAACCCTAAACCGCAAATCCTGCAGCCTTGGACCCCAAAGAGCTCACCAAGAACCGAGCTGTGCCCAGCAAACCCAAAACATTGTCTGATCCCTGCTGGTAGTGCAGGAAAGAGTCTCACATATGTGTAGCTGCGTACGTATATATATATATAGATACATGTGTACGTCTGTCTGCATTGACACACACACACACACACACATATATATATATATATATATGGTACCCCCCCCCCAAGTACCTAGGTCTCATTTTCTTCCCTGTCTCAGGTACCGGCCTCAGATGACTTGCCTCTTGTAGGGTTTAGGGTTTAGGAGTGAAAGTGCTGTACTGTCCCGAAAAAACCAATCCCAGAAGCTGAAAGTGCTGTACTGTCCCTAAAAAACCTAAAAAACCAATTCTGGAGGCCTATCAAGACAGGCTCTCCTCAAAAGATTGTTTTTTTTGGGACAGTACGGCACTTCGAAGGCCTGAGGTGCTGAAAGTGCTGTACTGTCCCTAAAAAACCAATCCCAGAAGCAGAAAGTGCTGTACTGTCCCTAAAAAACCTAAAAAACCAATTCTGGTGGCCTATACAGACAGGCCCTCTTCCAAAGATTGGTTTTTTAGGGACAGTACGGCACTTTGAAGGCCTGAGGTGCTGAAAGTGCTGTACTGTCCCTAAAAAACCAATCCCAGAAGCAGAAAGTGCCGTACTGTCCCTAAAAAACCTAAAAAACCAATTCTGGTGGCCTATACAGACAGGCCCTCTTCCAAAGATTGGTTTTTTAGGGACAGTGCGGCACTTTGAAGGCCTGAGGTGCTGAAAGTGCTGTACTGTCCCTAAAAAACCAATCTTTTCGTGAGGGTCTACCTGTATAGGCCTCCAGAATTGGTTTTTTAGGTTTTTAGGGACAGTACAGCACTTTCTGCTTCTGGGATTGGTTTTTTAGGGACAGTACGGCACTTTGAAGGCCTGAGGTGCTGAAAGTGCTGTACTGTCCCTAAAAAACCAATCTTTTCGTGATTGTCTACCTGTATAGGCCTCCAGAATTGGTCTTTTCGGTTTTTTAGGGACAGTACGGCACTTTCTGCTTCTGGGATTGGTTTTTTAGGGACAGTGCGGCACTTTGAAGGCCTGAGGTGCTGAAAGTGCTGTACTATCCCTAAAAAACCAATCTTTTCGTGAGGGTCTACCTGTATAGGCCTCCAGAATTGGTTTTTTAGGTTTTTTAGGGACAGTACGGCACTTTCTGCTTCTGGGATTGGTTTTTTAGGGACAGTGCGGCACTTTGAGGTGCTGAAAGTGCTGTACTGTCCCTAAAAAACCAATCTTTTCGTGAGGGTCTACCTGTATAGGCCTCCAGAATTGGTTTTTTAGGTTTTTTAGGGACAGTACGGCACTTTATGTTTATGGGATTGGTTTTTTAGGGACAGTACAGCACTTTGAGGGTCTGAGGTGCTGAAAGTGCTGTGCTGTCCCTAAAAAACCAACCTTTTGAAGAGGGGCTGCCTGTACAGGTCCCCAGAATTGGTTTTTTAGGTTTTTTAGGGACAGTACAGCGTTTTCCGCTTCTGGGATTGCTTTGTTAGGGACAGTACAGCACTTTCAGCCCTTCAGATCCCCAAAGTGCTGTACTGTCCCTAAAAACCAATCTTTTCGTGACGGCCTGCCTTGTAATTATAGGCCTCCAGAATTGGTTTTTGTTTGTTCAGAGAGCACAGTTCAGCAGCAATAAAGCTAATTCAACTATTTGTGATGTAAGTAACATTTTATCTAATCAATGTAATGCCTAGATGACGCGACGAGGTCAAGTTTCCTGATAAGTAGGCTTTAATTAATCTAATTTGCTTTACAACTGTCATTCATTTAGTCTGGTTGAGGTTGAAGTAAAAAAAGGATAGAAATTTAGTTAGTTGAATGCTGTCTACCTCTTAGAATAAGAAACTAAATGTAGTTTTTTCTTGGGAAGGCCTATTAAAGTATTCGTTTAAAGTAATTAGTCTAGTCAGGCTGAACCAATTGAATTGTTGTTAAGGATCGTGGCCTGTTTACTTTAAATTATCGAATTCGTTTAGTTAAGGGTATACTAATTAGTTTCATTCATTTGCTTCACCTTTAAGTAAACTAAATCCACAATTGAAATGATTTTGACTACATTAATATCAGCAAACAAAAGGCCGTAGTTACTGTTCTTAGTAAGTTTAGTTCATTGAATTCCTTTAGTTAATTATTGGTCTACGAACTCAGTTTATTTACTTAACCCTTCAGAAGACTAATCAAATTGTTGGAAAGACTTTACGTATGTTATTTTCCAGAAACGAAAAACTTTAGTTAAATTAAGTACTGTGCTTGTTCACGAAAAGAAGAAGGAACATGTTTTAGCTCATTCAATGAATGCTTAAGTGAAGCCATTAGGTCAGGTTCCCTATTACGCATTATGTTTTAATTAATGTAGTGTATGAACAAGTTTAATTACAGGCCTGTCTTTTCTAGCACAGAAGCAAAAACACCTTCAGAAGACTAATCAAACTGTTGGAAAGACTGTACGTATGTTATTTTCCAGAAACGAAAAACTTTAGTTAAATTAAGTACTGTGCTTGTTCACGAAAAGAAGAAGGAACATGTTTTAGCTCATTCAATGAATGCTTAAGTGAAGCCACTAGGTCAGGTTCCCTATTACGCATTGTGTTTTAATTAATGTAGTGTATGAACAAGTTTAATTACAGGCCTGTCTTTTCTAGCACAGAAGCAAAAACACGTGTAACATGATTCCGTCGCACGCTGTGTTGCACTGCTTGCTGCGTCTGTCGCCTAAGTGTTGGGCAGTATCCTCCATTCCGTTCATGCGATTCAAAAATAATTCAAAAAACACGTTTTTTTAGTAAATCCTACGAAAAACACACTCTTTTTTAAGTAAAACCTAGGCGCTACGGGGGGGGGGGGGCATATATATATATATATATATATATATATATATATATATATATATCTATATATATATATATAGCATGTATGTATATGTATATATACAGTATGTATGTATGCATGTATTTATGTATATATATATATATCCACACATAAACAAATGGAAATACAAAAGTGAATGTACATGAACAACCGCAATGGTACCAAAACGAAACGATGCCAAGCAGCATCGTCTGAAGCGTTCCAGGCCAGGACTTTCCGAGCAGGTCAAATTGCAGGACACGGGACAGCTCAGCGCCTGGAGCTTTGAATCAACGATGGGCTGATGGGCATGAGTTTTGGGGATTAGGGTTTTTTTTTCGTAGGGTTTAGGGTCTGAAACTTCCCATAATCCTTGTGAAAGGGCCTTCAACACAGGATAGAGCAGGATAGCCCATCCCGGAAGACAACACAGCGCCCTCACCGCAAGGCTGTGACCATCCCTCAGCCACAGTGCCTGAGTACTTCGTTGTTGCCTAACTTTGTCTGTAGTCGGTCGTGGTGTCTGCGGTATCTTCTAAAGCCTGCACGGTCCAGAGTCATTCATTCGGACTCTTTCGCCTAATCGGGTTGCTTTCCGGCTCATTCATCGATATGTATCGCCAGGAGGACCGACCACTTGCCACTTACCCGGTCCGGACTCGCAGACACAAGATTCACAGGAACATGAGGGTCGAGAGGGGGCTATAGTGGGGGCTTTGCCGAGGTGGTAGCCAGGGGGTTTAGGGTTGAGGGTTCAGGGCTTGCCAGCGGTATGTATGTTGACAAAAGGTATGCTCACAACACAGCACCACTCCCAAGCAACATTCATGGACTGCGCCGAAGATCTTCCATTTGTTTCATTGCTTCTGCAGATGCTGGCGGCGACTGCTCAGTTCTAAAGACTCTTCAGTTCAAGGTCCCGAGTCGTCAGCTTCGTTCATCGATAGGTACCGCCAAAAGCAGGACTGCTTTCCCATGTTGGTGGTCGTGCAAGAGAACCCTAAACCCTAAACCCTAAACCCTAAACCCTAAACCCTAACCCTAAACCCTAAACCCCAAACCCGGGGATCTTCACATGTACTTCCTTGCTTGGTAGTCTGAGTCGGAGGGCCTCCCGTGCCCCACAAAGCAAAATTCAACACCCAAATGCTTGCTAGGATGGCCCCCCAAAAAACCCCTGAAAAATCTTCCTGTGTATGATCCTCTTAAACCCAAAGAGAAAGGGAACATATCAAAAAGGTCCCCAAGGCCCTACCTAGCCCAATGTCTGTTTGACACGCGGTAAGGATGCACCACTTGAGTGTCTTCCTTCCATTTATACCAACAGCTCCGCAATAGGGATTACTGTACAAACCCTAAACCCCAAACCCTAAACCCTCACCCCCCCCGTATTAGTATACGGGGTAGCCATCCCAAGTCTCCCTTTTCTGCTGAGTGAAGCACTTCTCCTCTGCCGATGCCGCACGGTATCTTTCCTCCTCTCAAGCCTGCAGGGGCTAGGAAATCCAAACCTTCTCTTTTAACCCTAATTAACCCTAAACATTGGGATGTTCCCCCTTTTACTAACCGTCCTTAATCGGGATTGTAGTACCCCCCTATTGATTCGTCTCTATTGAGGAACTGTTGGTATCAGCGTCGGGGGGGAACTTTTCAACCTAAACCTGAAACCCTACACCCTCAACCGAAGTCTCGACATCGATGCAGGTTCCCGAACCTTCGGATGTGTTCACCGCATAGTCTGCGCACGACATGCCTTCCTGATCTCGCCAGAACCTTAGAAGATCACAGCTTTAGTCTCAGCTTTAGTCTCTGCTGCGGATGGCTGGCAGGGAAATAAACTCCTAAACCCTAAATTTCGGGAAACAAAAGTAGGGGCCACAAAGCATCCTGAAGGGGAAAGACAAGCAGGTTTGAGGTTTAGGGTTTAGGGTTTAGGGTGCAGAAGAGGCTCGGGTCGTTTTGGCAGGGATATCGGTGCTCCGGGGGCGTCATGTTGTAGGGGAGAAAGCGGATCTCGCTTTGCAGCGTCCTGCGAAGGGAGGGGGTTTCCGCGCACAGAATCAGGGTCTAGGCTGCTAGATCCCCTTGTCCTTACAGACGTCAGCATCTTCAGGTTGTCAAACAACCAGAAGTAGAGCGCAATGTACACGATCCACTGCACGCAGTTGAAGTACATGAACACAGCGCTGTAGTGGCAGTCTTTGCCATGCAAAAACCTTACTGTCGGTTAGTTGGGAATGGGGGAATGAGGTTCCCTTATACAGGGTATAAATAAATAATACATAAATAACTATATATATATATATATACATATAAAAGTAAATAAACAAATATATATATATATATATATATATACATATATATATATAGGGCCCTAACTCCCTCAGTCCCTGCTAACCAGCAGTAAGAAACGACTTCTTCCAGGCCGTCATGGTGAGAAGACGACCGAGGATGCACCCAAGAAAGACAACCGGGAAGTAGTCACCTGTCAGAGCACAAAGTAGCAGGAAGCAAAGCACAACTCAAGCATTGCTTTTGCAATCTCTGGAAGCATCCCTAACCCTAAACCCTAAACCCTAAACCCTAAACCCTGCCCGGCCTGGGCGAAGCAACTCTCTGGCCTGTTCCTCGTGTATGCCGTTATACTCGAGGTAGTTGCGCAGTTCAGGCCAGTTCAGGCTTCGCCATCTCCTCAGAGCTTGGGGCTTGCAGGTTAGGGTTCAGGGTTCAGGGTTTAGGGTTTAGGGTTTAGGGTCTAGGGTCTAGGGTTTAGGGTTTAGGGTTGAGGGTTTGGGGTTTAGGGATTAGGGTTTAGGGCTTGCAATCTTTGTAAGCTTTAAGGGAGGCATAGGCAGCGCCAGTTGGCTTCCCTGCACTACCGATATTCTCCCCCAGAGCACTGTTGCCGGCCTGCTAGCTTACTAACTGGTTCTTGGTGGGAATGGGGGAACTAGGGCCCTATATGATCCCTCAAAGCGTGTATAAAAGGCCCTAATTCCCCCATTCCCTACTAAGAACCAGGGGTTTAGATTGCCTTATAGAAGCAAACCCAGGGCCTGTATTTGAAATTTAAGCGTCCACATGGCCAGGACAAGGAGAAACTCAAAGAGCAGCCCAATCCCCAGTGGCGCCCAGAAGTGGTGGAACTTCTCGAGAAGGAAACCGTCCTTTTCTGTGGGGTGAGGCGTTTTGTGACAATCGGTCCCCCAGTCCGGGGTTCAGGGTTTAGGGTTCAGGGTTCAGGGTTTAGGGTTTAGGGTTTAGGGTTTAGGGTAACCCGAAACCCCTCCCACATTGCAGCGTTTACGGTGAGAAGAGTCAGGTGCTTTCTTGGCTATAGGAGTAGGGACGACTGAGCGACATGGGTAGCCCGGTCCTGGCGCGACTCGCAAAGGGTCCCAACCTAGGGCAGGGGAGTGGGAAGGGCTGGCTTCGCGCTTTCCAAAAACATCCTAGGTGACCAGGAGTGATTTAACACATTCCCCCTGGGTTTTTAGTCGGGAATCCACCGAGGCCTCGGGCCGAAGGTGTGTAGGTTGTTCTCGCGAGAACAAGCACCCCCCTCCCCCCTACCCCCGCCCCCCCCTGCCCCCCCCCCCCCCCCCCCCCCCCCCCCCCACCATGCCCACGCGGATGCGCTGGGCCGGGCCGAGGCGGGTCGCGTAGCGTTAAAATTAGGGCCCGATATTATACCCTTTAAGGGAGTGCATAGGGTACCTCATTCCCTCATTCCCTACTAGCATATCGATGCCCAAAACCCTCAACCCTTGCAGGATCGCCTGACTCTCGGACCCGTCGCTGTCATCGGAGGAGCCAACTTGTCCAGCTTGCATGAGTTGACGTTTATCCATGGCTCGGCAAGCAACCCGGTATCCGAAACTATGACGAGAAGCCCTAAACACCCCTAAGCAATTTATTACTTGAAGGCTGCTAGGCCAGTGCTACCCTGCCAAGCATCCGCGCAACTTCCTGAGTTCCTGCTTAGCTCAAGCCAAAACTGGGTAGCAGAAAGCTCTCCTCACTGGGATGAGGGTGGACTGGATCCTTTCGTAACCCAGCGCCAACAATCCTTACAAGCCCTTTCAAATTTTGCATCTAGAAGCAAGTGCCCAGCGCCCCGCACTCCCCTCCCCGTGCATCTCTACTCTAAGGGAAAACGCGCTACAAGAGCCATATGCACGTGAGGCTTGGAGCACGTTGGATACGTTGTGGTGGCCACAATCAGTGCCCCAACCTTTGATAGCTGGCACTCTTGTCGCCAAGACAAGGAACCCCCAGTTTCTGACCAGATACGCCTAACCCGGAGTCCTTCTGGAATGAGCCCGCCCCCACTCCTTCCCCGCTCTCAAAGAAAAGGGGCTCCAGCCTTCTTCAAGAAACTCAAAAAAACCTATGATAACAATATACTATGTAACTCAATATCTATAACGAACATAAATAAATAAATAAAAAGAAAAATAAATAAATAAATAAAAAATATATATATATATATATATATATATATATATGTAGATATATATATATATATATATATATATACACATAATATACACTTGTGGGATGGGGGCCGCGTGCGGGATCAGGGGCTTAGACCGCGGCCTGAACTCGGCTTGCAACCTTCAGCGTCGTCAGTTTCTGTCACGCAGTTTGTGAATGTTTTGGGGTTTAGGGTTTAGGGGTAGGGCGTTGCCTGAATTTTCAAAACTTTCTCCCGCTGGCTCCTACGAGATCCCGTGCCCAAGCTCAGGGCACCATCTGAACTTCAACGTCTTCGGTTATCTACGCCTAAACCCTAAACCCTAAATTAAGGCTTAGGGATATGGAGGATGGTGGGGGGCTCTGGAATCCTATCTGCTGACTTCGAGTCCGTCCCGAAGTTTCAGCTTTGCGCGTGGGCACTTGGGAGTCCTGCGGGTCAGCAGATAGGGTTCCAGAACCCATCACCATCCTCCACATCCCTAAGCCGTAATGTAGGGTTTCGTCGCTCACTCTCGCACAAGGCAGGCAAGGTCCGTCGGTCCGAATAGGCTGTATCGACTAATCAGAGTCCAGAGCCAAGCAGTTGTATGGGCCTCAAGGGAAAAACCACACGACTAGTAAACCCCAATCCCCTCCCCGGGCCCTACTAATGTAGGGTTTAGGGTTTGGGTTTAGGCCTAGTGAACTTCAAGAGACTTTCGTAGGCATTTCCTATCGCGGCAAACTTTTGAAGCATTTGCAACACTACGCCAAAGTGAGGAGTGGTCCATGCGACAAAGTACAAAAAACACAATATAGAACCACATTTTCTTAGAGGCAAATGTACAGTAATGTTACGCCTCACAGAGTGGTGGCGGTTTCGGAATTGGGGGGGGCTCCTCGGGCTCTGAGTGTGAGAACAGTTGCACGGGCACCACATGTAAGAGCAGTGGCCCTGCTTGCGATCAGGCTACAAAAAAGTAGAAAAAGACTCGTACGACGTCGTTGCACATACCCCGGCGCATACCCGTCTTCCCATGAACTTCTCACAGTGTGGGGTTTTGGAACCTTCGTCTGCATCGCCTTAAGCCTGAAGCCCTAAAACATCGTGCGGCTGAAGCATGCCGAACGGTTTTCTTTGGAATCCATCTGCGAATCAATTCCTGGCAGCTGTTGGGCCAGCTGGAAGAGCTACGTTTGAGCAAAGATGGGCACTTCCAAATAATATGAATGCCCCCCGATTGTACCCCCCCCAAAATATCGTCATCTTTGCTTAAAGACGTCCCCAGAAAGGGAACTCGCCCTAGTCTGTGGAAATCCCAACTTGCTCCTGGAAAGTGTCTGCAAGTCCGCATTGCATTTTGGTGCAAGCGACTTGCTAGTGCACAAGCTGAGCAGAAAAGTGGCAATGGGTCGTCACCCACTTCTCCCTCAGTTGCACACCATCGGACGATCACCAGCCCATATCCACAGGCTTAGTTTGCAAATCATGGTTGCGCAGCCTTGATCTTCACAAGCTTGAAATGGAATGGGCAATGGCAATCCAGCAGCTGCTTCAAGCAGCTCTGTGACACGCAACGCATCACGAACTTGACAGCACCGCTCAGGTAACATTGAAGAGCCCATAGTACTTGGAGGTTCATGGGTAGTTAAAAGTAGGGATATAATTTCCCTAAATAAGGCTATGCACTTACCATACTTCTGGCCGTACTTATAACTACCCATGTACCTCCAAGTAGGCAGGGGGATATTGTGGACTCAGTACGGGTGAGTTTATAGTCAGGATCGGGATGCCACAACGGCGCCGCAGCTGCCTAGTGAAACGTTGATACTGCGGTCCTTTAAGCGATGCGAAGAACCCAAGTACATTTTGCTAGGTAGCTACAACCCAAAAAGCCCAAAAAACACCCCTGATCCCCATATAGTTGTGATTTCGGACTGAATTTGGGCGAGAGAGAGGCCGCAAGAACGGATGCCTCCTGCAGCTTGTCTTGGGATTTCTCAAGTTACCACAGACTCCGCTGAAGCTTTCGTGTTCAATGACTCTTCAATGGAACAAAACCCTAAACCCTAAACCCTAAACCCTAACCCTAACCCTAAACCCTAAATGTTCTCAGCGTTCCGGTGTCGAGCACAAAGTTTGCGGAGCCAGGCCACGTTCGCCGGAGACCTAAGCCGCCCGGCCGCCCGGTTCTTTAGGGTTTAGGGTTTAGGGTTCAGCATCTCTGATCCAAGCATTCACCAAGGGTGTTTGGCATCACCCCACACCTAGAATCCCTTTCATTTGGCAACCTTATCTACCATTTCAATTCTTACTGCCTTAAGTCCCCTGAACCCCAAATCCAAAATCCTGAAAGCTCCAGAGAGCCCCTGAATCCTAAATCCTAAACGAAACGCCCCAGAAGGGCCCTTATACCCTAACGCCTAAGTCTTAAAAGCTGCAGAGAGGGCCCCCCGAAATTCCAAATCCTAAATCTTAAAAGCCCAGAGAGGCCCTGAACCCTAAATCCTAAGTCCTACAGGCATTACCCCAAAGCACCACCGCAGCCCCAAATAGCTTTAAAAAACCACAAAAAGCTTCCAAAACAACTCAAAAAAGGGGGACCTGCTCCCCCAGTGAAAAATGCTGATTTTTAGTACTGAAATCAAGGGTTACCCCACAGAACCACCACAGCCGCCTGCTCCCGCAATGAAAAATGCTGTTTTTAGTACCGGAATCGACGGTTTCGGGACCCCTCCTTTTTACCCCAAAGCACCACCACCCAGCAGGAAAAAACCCTAAAAGGCTGCAAAAAGCCGGGTGTCCCAGGGCTCCCCGGGACAGCTGTCCTGGGGGTGTCCCGCGGGGGCCCCGGGACATTTGTTTCGAAAAGACCCGGGATGCCCCAAAACACCCCAGGACAACCTGTTCCGGGGGGGGCCCCAGGACAACCCGTGCCGGGGGGGCGTCGGGACAACCCGTCCCGGCAAGGCCCCGGGACAGCCCATATTAGATTAGGATTTAGGATTTAGGATTTAGGATTTAGGAACCAGGAAAACGCAAAAAAGCCCGACGACCCCATTTAGGTTTAAATATATACAGGTAGAGAGGGTTTAGGGTTTAGGGTTTAGGGTTTAGTCAGTGGTTTCAGGCTTTGGCGGAAGGAGCCTGATCCTCAACCGGTTCAAGTCAGAGACCCATGGGTTCACGAACAGGCCGCTCGTCCTAAAGCCTGGATTGCTGCGTACTGCAGCCGCCCGTACCGAGTCAGACCAAACTACTGTACTGCGTAGGGTTTGCCCGTCCCCACTGCCCGAGGCTGGGGACAGGGATGATGATGAGGACGACATGTTGGGGAGGATTTCATGACCCAATGCCTTTCGATCCGACTTGGCTGTAGACTTTTCATGAGCTTGGACGTCGGCGAGCCCTCTTCCATCGGGAATCCGATGCCCTATGATATCGGGCTTCAGCATGGGTTCTGCAAACAATGATTTTTCAGCAGAAATCAACATTTGATGATGATGGCCGTTCTGATGATGATAGCTGCGCCCTAAACCTTCAGCCCGACCTAAACCTTAAAACCAAGACCCTGGACCCTACACCCTCAACCCGAAAACAGACAATGGACCGAAGAAGCCAGGCTCTGTCATGTCGACCGAAGGAGTGTTGGGGGTTTCAAAGTCCTGTTCAACACAGGCTTCTCAGGAAGCCGCGGAATTCCAAGATATTCCAAGAGCTCAACACCCTGAACCCTAAACCCAAACCCTCAACCCTAAACCCTAAACCCTAAACCCTGAACCCTGAACCTTAAATCAGGAAACCACGCAAGTCAGTTCGAGGCGCACGAGCCAGTGCTCCATCCCCAAGGCAAGGGTGGCACGCAGCAGCTTCTCAAAGAACCCGCGGTGGCTTTTCCAATAGGTGGCCACGTCCTCAAGAATGCGTGGTGAGGGTTTAGGGCTTTTTTTGCACCCGACTAGCCACCCCAGGTTTAGGGTTTAGGGTATAGGTTTTTTTTTTCTGTGGTGCTGTTGTGCTGATCCAGGCAGTTCTTGATTCAACATGAAGCCGTGCGCACCGCCCCCCCCCGCCATTGCAATCATCAGGCCGTCGTCATCGTCGTCTACCCCTATCACTTGGCACTCGTCATATCAGAGCACACAGCACCTACAAGCAGGCAAGCATCTCACGTCAGGTGACTGGCACGCATTCCCCCTCTCTCTGACACACACGCGCGTAGCATGCCGACATGGGATCCACAACACCAGAGTTGCGCGCTCACGAAACTGCAGGTCCTCCTCGAGGCCGTCTTGCACAGGCTTTTGCTCATGCTGCTGCTGAAATACCGTGGCCAGCACCTCCGCTGCGGCTACGAACTAAAGCAGCTTGCCCCACTTGCACTTTCAGCAAGATCAGCATGTTTCACGAACTGATGCTGGCTCCTAGCCTTTGGAAACCCTTGCCTGCATCTCGTCCAGAAGATCCTGCACTTGCATGGCTGCCTCCTTTTCTTTGGCCTGTGAATGTCCGGGCCGTCCGAGCTCCTGGCGCAGGTGAGTCAAAGCCACCTCCTCCTCTTGGATCTTCGCGAGCACGGGCACCACGAAGTAGAGGTAGCGCCCTCGCTCGCGAGGAGAAGCGTTGTGGGCCAGGAGCCACGCGCGGGAGCTGCTAACCAGCAGCTCCCGAGCCCCGACCTCGGCAGCAGCAGCCGCGGCCTCGCGCCGCGCCCGCACTCTCCGCAGAGTGGCCTCCAGCATGGGCGAATTTTGGGGCAATCCCCTAAACCCTAAACCCTAAACCCTAAACCCTAAACCCTAAACCCTAAACCCTAAACCGTAGCCCGTCCTGCCTTCAAGGCCAGCACCACCGAGATAGGCAGGGCCTTTGCCTCTTGGGTAGCCAAGTAAACCATATGATAACTAGGGCACCGTTGGGGGCTGCTTGAAAAAGGGAACCGTTAGGGTGTAGGGTTTAGGGGGAAAAGGGTACTACGGGGCTACCAAGGCCTCCACAGCCAGGGCAGCCGCCGCCTCGAGATCGGCATCAAACTGATAGGTCTCAGCGTTGTTTAAGCTGCAATCCTTGTTGAGGACAAAGCCCCCGTCATGGGCAGAAGTTCGGCTGGTTGAGAGGGTCTGATGTCCAAAGGAGACGGCTCAAGCAAATCACGAAAGTCGCAGACTTCACTCCCTGGCGTGTACACGATGACTCGGCGGACCGGCGGATAAGAAACCATGATGTGGTGGGGCTTCCGACTCTGCACGGCCCACTCCCGGAGCGAGCCCACCCCGAGGTAGAGGTGAAGCTTGGGCAGGTGCTCCTGCACAGAGGCATGAAGCAGAGTCAACATGGAGGGCCCTCTGCACAAACGTAGTGTGATATTCTAGTCGCTGCTCGATAAGTACTGTACCACCCAGATTAAGCCTATTTCTGGTTAGCTTCTCCTTCTTCACGAGATTCTCGCGATCGAGCTCCAACGCATGCTGACCCCAAGTCCACCCAGGGGGTTGATCGCTGCAAGCTTCTCGATGGAGGATGACCAGGGGATCGTTGAGGTCACTTAGAGCTGCGTGAAACCAGGGAGTCATCCGGTCGAACTTTCGCCACTCGCTGCCTCCCACGCAGACCTCTGCGTCTCCGGGCACCGCGGCAACGAGCCACTGCAACTTCTTAGGCAGGGACCTTGCCTAGGATGGCCCTTAAAACCCTCTGAAAAATGTTCCTAAATATGGCCCTCTTAAAGCCAACAAGGGAAAATACAAAAATGTCTCAAAGGCCTACCGAGTTGCAGACATGAAGACCTCTCCACCGTTCAGAAGCTGCAACTTGCCCTCGAAGTTGATGCCCTGAATCAAACTGCAAATGTCGTTCCGCGTGTTGCGGAGCCAGTTGATGGTGCCGCAGCTGAAGATGACCGTGAGGAGTCGAAGGCAAACGTTGCACTGCGAAGTCTCCGGGCTCTTTGCCTTCAGCCATTCTCTGAACTTCTCCGGATTTTTGAGGCAACCGACGGCTGTGCTCGCAAAGACCTTCAATGCGAATTGGCATTTCTTGCGCCTGGGCTCGGGCAAGTCATGTGCTGCCGCCAGGCCTGCCAGATGCGGGTATTGGCTCAGGTGGATCCGCACATAGCTTTGCGGTAAGGTGGTGTTGCTCATACGCGTGAGCAGGACGTTGGCCCACACCACACCCTGCTCAAGTAGGTGGCACACCACTTGTGGGGAGTATGGAAAGCTGCCGATGCTGCCTGCACTTTTGCTCTTCCACTGACCATGCACGTGTTGAACCACTTCGCACGTCATCTCGAAGAAGTTCAGCAGGTCGCCATGGGTCGGCTTCCGCATGCCCTCATTGAGTCTCAGCTGGTTCTCAGCCTGCAAGGTTTCCATCATCGATACCATCTTCCGCACCAACGGCCATGCTCCGTCCTTGGCTCGGAGTCGAAGCCCCGGCAAACCATGGAAACCCACCAGGGGGCACAGGACCAGAGGCGGCTTTAGCACATCCTCGAGTGCCAGCTTTCCCGAATGCACCTTGTGGATGCCCTGAAGGAACTGGTCAATCTTCCACTGGAGGAGGGCAAACCGTACTTCGTCTGCCGCAGCTGTGGCTTGTAAGCTTCGTGAGAGCCACGCCATGCTTTGTGGGCCTGGCAGGCTTAGACGGAGGAGAAGCCGTTCACACCGCCCAAGCCAAGATTGCACATCCGCCAGACCTGTGGCACCCAATGACCTGCAAGCCGCCATGGCCTCTGCGTCGCCGACATGGCGCTTGCCAATGTCACGGCAGCGCAGGGTGTGTCGCACGGCTGCCACGAAGGCATCGCCCTGCGCCAGGCCCCAGGAGTGAGCACGGACACATGTCTTTGTCGTGCATTTGCCATGCGCGAGCTGGCTCCAGCATGGGCTGGCTGAAATCAAGAGCCGCTCGCAACGCTGGAGCTGCAGCCCACAAAGCCAGAGGCGAAGGAACTGAAGGCTTTGCTGTGCCAAACGGAACATGGCACTGCGAGTCAGCCTTGGGCCCGATGCCAGGTCTGAAAGCACCAGGAAAGCAGGGGAGATAGAGGGGTACTGCCTAGCCAGGAGCAGCTCCATGACAAACTGCTCCAGCCAGGGCTCCTCTGCACTTCTGGACCTGCCCAGGGTGCAATATCTTCAGCGTCCACAGTGCCTGTGCATCCCCGTGCCTGGACGAAAAGCTTCCTGCCAAGGCAGCCAAAGCTTGCATGATCTTGTGGTTCAGGTGACTCAGGCGGTCGAACCAATGTCCAAGGTTGTCGGGCACATCCGCGTGCTCACTGGCGATCAAGGCCGCCAAGACTTGGAAGCGCAGCGCGTGCCCCCCGAGGTGTGCGTGGACGGGCAGGTCCTCTTGGGGAAGAAAGACCATGGAAGCAGTGGTATGTCGGCTATCGACACAGCAGTTCTGCACAGCTGGGTGTATGCCCTCCCAAAGCTTTGACAGATTTTTGGGTCATCCCCGCAGTCCCAAGTTCTGTGCGTCACCTCGGGATCGTCCAGGAGATGTGCCAAGGTGTCCGCTACGCGCCTGGCGAGGAGTGCGGCTTCCGGGCCGAATTTTGGAAGCCCAAGATCCCAACTCCGTACCGAGCCCAATGCATCCCCCGGGAAAAGTGTCAACATCAGGGTCGGGCTCGGCATTGTCATGCGTGCACCCTTGGCCTTTCATCCGTGGCCAGGTCTTCCCATGCCTGGTGCGCATGGCCATGCAAGCTGTGAGGTTCGGCAAGCAGTTCAAGCATTTTGAGACATTGGCCTAAGGCAGGGAGCACGTTTGTGACAGAGTCTCGGTTGATCTGACCCTGAAACACGCTGCTGCAATCCTGTAGAAGCCTGACAAACCCAAACCCTCAACCCGACCTGCTGCAACCTCCTCCAGCAGACTGTGTGCTTCAGGCTCTTGATGTGACTGGTCCCAGTAGGACTGAAGCCGATAGACCTCTGTCCAGACATGGTTGCTGTAGAAGTCTGAAGGTTGGGGCTTCGACACTACGACTCGGACAGGCGAGACAGCAAGCGATCATGGCTCATCAGTCAAGAGATTCTTCTGGGCCGAGGCTGGTTCAGGGCTTCGGAACTTCGGGCAAAAGTCGGCCCTCAAATCTCAGCACTGACACGGTGATGCATATATATATATATATGTATAAAAAGCAGTATGTAACATATATCGTCCCCGGGCAGCCTCAAGCAACCCAAAAGCAGGGCTGAGTATGTCGGAGGAGTACTGCCAGCGCGGAGATCGAAGTCCTCGCGGGCGCACGTCTGCAAACACACTGCGCGAACCGGGCCAGTCCAGAATCTTGCTGGATCTTCGTAGGGATTCCGGGAATGAAGTACCTTATATCCCGTACAGAGTATGGCCCATTAAGGAATGATATTGGGCAGCCAATTCCCTAGTTCCCTATCAAGAACTAAAGAAGTTGCAGCAGTTGTGTGTGGAGTCGCTCACTGCAGAGCTGAAAGCAGCTGGACTCATGCAAGTTCCTTGCAATTTTGTGTGTGTGTGTGTGTGTGTGTGTGTGTGTGTGTGTGTGTGTGTGTGTGTGTGTGTCTGTGTGTCTGTGTGTCTGTGTGTGTCTGTGTGCATGTGTTAGAAGGCCTCGCTTCTTCGAGAATAAGCAGGACTGGGCCTAGGCAGGCCTCCAAACTGTAAAATTGCTGTACCGTGCCTACAGTTCCGCTTGCAGAAGAAGCAGAAATCAGGGACAGTCTCCCACTTCAGAGCCACCAGACGCAACAGTGTTTCGTGTTGTCTGTCATACCTATTCAAAAGCACAACAAAAACAGTCTTGAGCGAGAACCCTCGAGCATGAATATTCTTTGCTTGAGAGAAGCTGTTTGTACTGGGGGCTGCATGTAGCATCTCAAGCACCCTCAGCATCCGCTCAGCATCCGTGGAAGGCGTAAAGGAAGACTGCTTCTGTCAAAAGCGTAGATGTCGACTGCGTGGGGGGGCACGCATATACACATACATATTCACATAACACCAATATCAATATTTACACTTACATATCATGCCGTGTGGGTTGTTGGTTGATGTTTATCCGAACCTTGTGAAAACGACCAAGCAGGCCTGTGCCCTGGTCCATTCCATGTTCTCCAGGCACAAGACGGCACATTCCTCGAAACGGCCCTGCTGCTCCAAGACCTCCACCTTTCACGGATACCGGGATGTTCCGACGCAGAGGGCATTGCGGCATTGGGGTCCCGAACTTGCGAAGATGGCCCCAGCATGCATCGTAGCTAGCATCGCTCTGAAGGTCGGGGCCATTGGAGTAAATGCAACTAGCTCAAGCACAAGTGCTCACGACGAACAAAGATGGCCACATATGATAAAGCAGCTTAGTTTCCTGGAGGGGGCCCCGACAGATTGACCGCGCGGCGTGCTACCGTGTGAACCTTCAGTCCTCCCAGCCGCCACAGGTGTAACCTAAGCCTGCACCAGGCGACCTCACCGCTCAGCCCTCGATACCCTGCGCCTCAAGGTTGAAGAACTTCAGGTTTCGGAGGAAGATGTCAAACTTGGGGCCGGTTGGCAGGAAGGACCTTTGAAGGATCTGAGGTCTGGGAATCTGCGGTTTCGGGGGTGAGTTGGAATTTTGGAGATTCAGGGGTGTTTCAGCATGCCGCCATTGGGCTTCAGCCGGAAGCCTTTGGAGGCTTTTGGTGAGGTGCATGTGCAGAAAGAAAAGCGCGCAACACAGCACTGCATCTATGTGTTCCACACGCCTCCGCAAGGGCCAGCAGTGAATGGTAGAAGAGCAAACAACTCGAACTTGTGTAGGGAAATGTGCCACGGGGCCACATATGAGTGTCCGAGCGACAAGAGCCTCTTGAACCTCAGCATCCTTGCTTCGTCTGATCTGCCTGAGTCGGTCAACTCCTTCAACTCCTTGGCCATCTGCCTTATGGCCTCCCGGTGTAGTCGGAAGATCTCTTCATCCACACCCGCTCTGTGGAGGTGCGTGGCCACACGGAGGTAGTCCTGCCAGCGCTTCCCCCTTGCAAATGCCTCCAGGGACTTCTTGTACTGAGCATCCTGCTCCCAGGCAAGCCCAGCCTTAGCCCATTTCTCTTTGGCCTCCCACAGATGAGCCGCATCGCTCCATCGGTGCTCCAGCTCATAGAGTGACGCAGCTCGTTCCAGGTCACCTCCCTCCAAGAAGCATTCTGCAGCCAAGACGCGGCAGGGGCTCACGCGGAGCTCACGTGGCAGCAGGGCTGCAACTGCCGCGGAGGTACGAGTGAGTGCGTCAGCTAGCCCTGCGAAGACTTGCCCCGCGCACTTGTAGTCTCGCTGGGAGCCTTCTCCATAGGTGTTGGAGGCTTGGCTCTGAAATTGCTTTGCCTGGCTGTACTGCTTCCAAAAGTCCGCGATGGGGTGGCCAGCAGACTTTGCTCGAGTGAAGCAGAGGACGGCGTCCTCGTACTTGCCGTGGCTAAGGAACTCCCGGCCTTGGTCCACGAACTCCTCCGCCGTCGATGTGGCTGCAAATCCCTGGCTCATGCCCGGGGTGTTTTCAGCCTGTGCGGAACTTGTGACCACGTGGACCAGCCTCTTCCCATCCCAACGCCTCATCAGGCCCTGCCCAGCCTCGCGGTCCTCCTCGAAAATCCACACCCGCTGCCTGGCCCTCGTCACTGCCACGTACAAGGCCTTCAGCCAAGAGCACAGCAAGCCATGAGTTGAGGCATCGAAACCATTCCTGGGCTTGGCAATGACACTTTACGCCCGCGGGCTTATCTTTTCGCGGTGCTCAGGAAAGCGCCCTCTTCTCCCCAGTGTGTCTTTTGACTTCGACGCAAAAACTCTCCAACTCTTTATCAGGCACGCAGCAAACACACAAGTCGCGAGACAACGGCGCTCTCTTATCTCGGATGCTCTTTGAATCTAGGGTTTAGGGTCTAGGGTCTCTTAGTGCAAGCCAGGGCGCTGATCTTCGATGTACTTCCAAAGGTTCTGTTGCTGACGGCGCAGCTGGATGGGAGTTTTCTCGCTGGCCGCCATCATGTCGCTAAACGCATTGACAATGAGCACATCCTGGAATTCCAAGCCTCACAAGGTATGGCCCACGGTGGCACGACAACATGGGGAGAACCCGAAGCCCTAAAGGCCTAAACTGATAGGATTTTTTCGCTGCGGCTATGGTTGTCAGCTCAGCTCCGAACCTTTGGCATCGTGGATGCTCATCACGATCGACATGGGGAATTGCTCTTTAACCTTCTGTCGGGCTTCCTCGCTCCACACCAGCACTGCCTGCTGGGCCCCAAACTCCAAGACTTCCTGCTGGCCGTTTCGGCTTCCGGCGAAGATGATGTCCAAGGTCTCCTCGAAGGTCAATCCGCAGATGAACACGGGCTTCAGTGCCAGATCCACCCTCGAGATCTCGCGCGGAAGGTAGTCGATCTTCTCCGGGAATAGTTGCATGAGGATGTCGATGATGGATGCTGCCAGCTCGAGAATGCCCATGGTGCTGCGATGATTGTAGGTCAAGTGATGTATTCCGGGAACGGAGCCAAAAGACGGCCGCACGGAGAACGTGGCGGGAGTTGTCGGCTCCTTCGAATCGTCTACAAGCGGCGGGGTGATTGGGGTCTCCTTCATGTACATGCCGCAGCCGGGCAGTGGACAGCTGAGGCGCCCGCGAGCTTGCGCCCACTCGGCTTTCTTGCGACCGCCGGCCGAGGCACCCTTTAGAGCTTGATCACATAGCTTCTCCAGCTCTCTACAGCATGCCTCCTTGCCACAAAGAACTTTGTTGTGTGCCACAAAGTGGGAGTTGCACTCCAGCCTGACCGCACCCGCTTCCGTGATGTCCCTGCCGCAAAAGGAACATGCTTCCAACTCCACTTGCACTTCGTCCTCCTCCCAATCCTTCCCAGACAAGAACTCTTCAAAGAAGAGGCGGCGGATACTCTCGAAGCGGAAGTCCACACCCTTGCTGATGGTCTGCGCGGTGTCGCCTGCAAAGACCCAGGCGTTGTTGGACGGGCAGAAGAGTCGCAACAGGAGGATCTCGGCCGGGAGCAGGTCCTGAACCTCATCGACAAATACCTTAGCTCTTCTGCAGCCTGACGCAGCACGCACTCGTGACCTCGCTGTGTCTTGATGCCTTTTTTGAATTTGAATTTATTCCCACACCTAGGGCTTCCACTAAGGCATGCGAGCCGCAGCCGAAAGCATCTGAAACGACGCCTCACGTTGTGGTCGGCGGAACTTCTTTGCCCGTTGGGTGATGCCTCAAGGTCATGCGGCTCCCACGTGTCAGGTGGGTTTCTGGCGTTTTTGAATAGACTTCTACGGGCTATACCGGGGGTTGTATGACATAGGGATCAGGGCCGATAGAACTTTACAAGTATTTCCAAATTAAGCCTAGGCCTGGTATACAGGCCGACCTTGCGCTGGAACACGCTGCAAGACCCGTTTCAGACCTATCTTCACAATGGACACCTCGCTCGGTGAACATCCGTTTTGGTTTCTGCCGCGGTGCTTCTCACGGGGTCCATGCGGTCGAACTTTGGGCACGTCGCCTGCCAGCGGCAAAGACAAGCACGTCAAACCCAGATCTCGTGGTAAGCTTGCGTCATGGCTGAACCGCGGGCCAAGGTATGAGCCCACCCACCCCTTCATGCACATCGATCTGCTGAGGTTTGAAGGGTCAGCCAGCGTGAGCTGTTCAAACGTGCGGGTGTTTAGGTTTGGGCCTTGAAGTTCTGGTACAGGAGAAAGGCATCGTAGATTCGGTCTCGTGCTGACTCCTCCTTGATGCTCGAGTCACGCAGCTCGGGCAAACGCTGGCCTGCCAACAACGTCGGCAGTGCCCAAACGTGCCAAACAGCATGCTAGCAGCCAGAACACTTCAATGACCAGCATCACCTATATGCTGCTGCACTAATTACACAGCAGGACGAGGTTGCCTGGCCCAGGTCTTAAGAAAGAGCCTGTCAGTTCTGCCTGCGAGAGTTTGCACAAAGTATCCTGCAGGGTTTAGGGTTTAGGGTTTAGGGTTTAGGGTTTATCCGAGGCAGCGCGCCTGAAGCATCGCAGCCGGAGACGTACTCTGCCCTTGAGAGGCAGCCGCCGGCGGATCGCACGGCGTGCAGGCTGCCAAGGATCACGGTCAAAATCTCCTGCCATTTAGGGTTTAGGGTTTAGGGTTAGGGTTTAGGGTTTAGGGTTTAGGGTTTAGGGTTTAGGGTTTAGGGTTTAGGGTTTAGGGTTTAGGGTTTAGGGTTTAGGGTTTAGGGTTTAGGGTTTAGGGTTTAGGGTTTAGGGCTTAGGGTTTAGGGGCAGATGAAGCCACACATGTGTGCATGTGTCGGCAAGCTGATGTGCGCACCATGGGCACTCATGGCTACTATGTCCTTGTAGACAATGTAAAGTGAGTCGCTCTTGGCCAAGCGCGCCACAATCTTGGGCCCGCAGGTGTTTTCAAAGTACTCCTGAGGTCCGTCTTTCGGTGGCCGGGATTGGGGGAATGATCTGGGTTTAGGGTTCAGGGCTTAGGATTTAGGATTGGGGTTTCAGCTTTCGGCTTCTGCTGTGCTTCACTTGCCAAGGGGCAAGAGCCGCAATGTCGGTTTAGGGTTTAGGGTTTAGGGAGGAAGTGCTGCTCTGAACCGCCCGAGAACGAAGGCAAGCTCAACAAGTTGCCAGGGGGAGAGCTGAAGTTTCGCTATAGCACCCCCCCAGAGGTTTGCAGAGGCTGATGTCTTAAGGCATCGAGCCGGGCTGCATAGGTCATCTCATCCTCCAGGAAGTAACGCCCATCACCAGGCAGGTGAGGAAATCGATCCTGCTAGTCTGTGGGGTCGCAGCTGCGTGGAGGGGGTTGAGGGTTTAGGATTTCAGGGCACATGCGTCAGGCCTGCGGCTTCCAGGCAGGCTCAACATCGTGGGCGCTCAGGCATGACGCCGGGATTTATGGGCTGGTAAGGAACAGATTTCAAAAGGTGTAGTGATTTTCTTCAGCCCCTGAGGGGGGGGGAGCAGCGACACTTGACCAATGTCGTGTCTTTTGGGCATGGCAGAAACGACTTCGGAAATGGCATGGCAATGACTGCGAGAAGACAGCGGGACTGGAATGTGGAAACAACGTAAATTACCTTGGACATTGCACAAGGAAGTTGGAATCATGGACCTAATGTGGACTCGAGAGCAAAACAACTATGTGGACCAGAATTCGGAAATGGCGGACATGATTTCGGAAGACAAGCTAAAACTAGCAGTAGACATCCGGACAGCGGAATGGGTAGATGTGCATCGGAAGCGCACGTGGAACTATGGGCATTGATGTGTAGACGCGTGAAACGCACAGGCAGCTCCCCCCATGGGGCTTACAACCTCACGATCATTCCTCGAAATTCTGGTCCCATTCTGGATACCGTAAATATTAGGGGCCGTTAGTATTGTAGGGATCCCAAAAAGGGACCATCATGCAGAGAACTCACCATATGAAGTCGGGTTTATATTTCTTGTACCCCTAAAGGGACACCCAGTATATACACTCACCAATATGAAAAAAGGAACCTTATATACACTCTGCTTCATAAAGTTTAGGGTTGAGGGAATCTGAGCTAAAGAATGTCAACTTGGGCTTAAACCCCACTCCCTATGCCCATACTCCCCTTAGAACCTTAATCAAAATGCTATTTTTAATATCCTCTTGGGTGTTATATCAACAAAAACAAAGAAGAATTCCCAAGGGGGATGTAGCTATGCTAGGCCCTCTGCTGCTTAGAGAGCATCCGACATCAAACGTTTCAGCGACACGGACGCGCCTGGGGAACTCCCGAAAACAAGCCAGGCCCAGGTGTGGGGCTGATCTGTCTGATTTTCGTACTTCTTCTCTTGGGGGTGGGGGGGGGGGTGTCCCCACCATCCGACCATGAGTTTCCTTCGACAAGTTCCATGCAAGTTCCGGCCACGCCGAGACCTTAAGCCTACACCTACACGTCACCCTTTGTCAGTGACGCAAGGATGACGCAAGTTGAGTGTGGAACCGCCAGGCACTGCACACATGTCATCTCCGAGACCTCCAAGCAGCAAAGTGCGCGATGTGAGCTCGAGCTTGGGATGCTCTGGAGTGGGTCTTAGGAGGTTCCCGCTTTGGACGGCTTGAATGGTGCATGAGCTGTCGTGGTGGGTTGACTATACTGGATGCAACAAGGATCCTAAAGTCAGCCATGTGAGTTCCATAGGCTTAGTTGGCTCTCGGGGTCGCAGTCGGAAATTTCGATGGGAGGGGGGGGAGCAAAACGGGAGGTGAGCGGTTGCTGTCGCATCGTAACCGAAATCCGGTACTGCTTTCGGTAGCTACCACCGTGTAAATCCGACCAAAACATCTGAGCTGCTTTTGGCAGATGGCCTCGTTTGGGATTGCAGTGAACAGAAAACTTTTGGCGAACAGTCTCTCTTGCAGAGTCCGAGGCTGCTTTCGACAATGGCACTTTTCCGTCGGTTTTCGTTGCCGCCACTGGCTTGAAGCCATGTGAGTAAGCGACAAAGGATTTCAAGCGACTTAGACATAGGGAAACAGCATACCAAGCACCAAATCCAAACTCCCACTGAGCTCGGTCCTGGGCCAACAGCGTACCCTTTGCCCGCCGCAAAGCCCGTTCGACCTCAACTGCGTTGGTTTTCATTTGTGCCTTTGGGCTTGGGCACTCAGGTATTCAAGCAGTTTAGGCTTGCGAGTGTACTGCCCAGATGCCAGATGCCCTGGCAGGCTAAACAAACCAGACTGGAGGGTCGCCAGGTTCTGACCACTCCTTGTAGGGATGGCGAACTAGTTTCTAGCAGTATCCCCTCATAGTCCCTGTACAAATAGACTATAACACCCCCCAAAACCCTTTTCTGATGTTATAAGGCCTCTGCATGAAGTTAAGTTTCGTTTACACACCCCGAAAACCTGCGTCGAAGCACCTTGCCCTCGTCTCGGCTGCTGTGGTTGAAGAACCGGTCTCCTTCAAGGTTTGGGTTGTAAAACGTCTTTCCCTGGGTTGAGGTCTCTGGAGGACTTGGGGCTTCCCACCTTTTTCACAGGAAGCTGCAGCAAGGTCGAGGAGGAATGGAAAAGGGACCGGCTCCCCAATTCCCTGAGTAAGCCTCAACGCAAAGAGCCCTCAACGCCGCCAAGGCGAATTCTTTCGAGAGAAAGTTAGGGTTTAGGGTTAGGGTTTAAGGTTTAGGGTTTAGGGTTTATAGGGTTTAGGGTTTACAGGGTTTAGGGTTTAGGGCTTGCCTGGAAGGGAGGCGTCGGCTGCGCGAAGGAAGGAGCCCCAGCTGGCGATGAGGGCCCGGTCGTCTCCAAAGTCCTCCTGTGACAAGGAAAAACCCCTATGTGGGGGGGGGCGTTGCCTCTTTTTGGAGGGTTTAGGGTTCAGGGTTCAGGGTTTAGGGTTTAGGGTAGTATGAGCCCTCATATTCATGTAGGGTGCCCCGACAAATGAGGGTTTCGAGATACTCCTTACATGAATGGAGCCATGGTCGCGGAGCATTGCTAGGTGACGCTTCCGGACTTGGGCTGTCTTTGGGTGGTGAATGTCATTCAGCGTCACCAAGTGGTCAACTTAAAGTGATGCTCCTGTTCCCCCAGAACCCTAAACCCTAAACCCTAAACGGCCCTAGACCCGAGACAAAGCAGTCCTTCCGGAATGAACGGGGCATCTTGTCGAAGGCCTCCACCTCTTCCTAAGCTCTCCCCCTTCACTTCTCGAAGCAAGCATTCTCAACAACCCTAAACCCTAAACCCCTAAACCCACTCTGAAACCGTGACGTCGAATTTCTGCTGCGAAGGGCGCTCAGGGACGTGCCCCGAGTCTGCATGCCATATCCTCTGTGGCCGAAAGCCAAGCAGAGACACTCTAGACCCAAGAGCAACCTAGGAATAAAACGGGGGGCCCTTTTTGGTTTCAAGGGGATTACAAGGGAACCTAGACCCTAAATGACCCTAACAAAAAGGGAATAGAGGCCTACTCTGGGTCCTAGCACTCAGGTTTCGGCCTAGCCTCAGTCACTCCCAGCTCCACCTCCGGCGGCACCTCCTCCTCGGTTGCACCTCCAGAACGACTAATTGCTTAAGAAGTCCCCCCCCCCAAAAAAAAGCATTCTTGCTGAAACGGGCAAGATATGGGAATACACTTTCTTATTTTTTGGGCTTCTTAAGCAAACGGTAGATAACGACACTGCAGGCTGCTTCAGTGACTGTTGCAATTTGTGCTGCTTCCAGGAGCTCTGACACGGGCGTCATCCATGTTCCCTCAACGTTTCTGCTTCCAGCCTTCACTGGCAGACCGCAGAGCTGTGAGAGCCACGCACATCTGATGGAAACATTTGTGGATCGCTGATGCCAAGAGCGGTGAGCCTCAAAATGCGCAGGGGCTTCTTGCGGGTTCTGCGGGGTAGTGGTAGTGAGCGCATTGGATGTGCACGACTTCCCCCCCCCCCCCCCCCCCCCCCCCCCCCAAAAAAGTAAAAAAAAAGGTGCAATGCAGGCGGAGGGCGAGTGACAAGCATCACCGGGCCCGCCTTGCCACCCTGATCTTCGAACCATGCCATGGGGGCCTTGTGGACATAGTACAGGGCATGGGTCTGGACACTGGTCTTGCCGCTGCCCGAGCGCCCCAAGAGAAAGAGTGGCTCCTGAATCACCTTGTGCAAGGCCGACAACTCGTCAGAATCCAAGACGTAAGGAAGCTGCAAGTTGCGAAGGCTGTGCTCCTTCATCAACTTCAGGTGAGCATCCATGATTCTGTACCTTTTCTGAAGCGAGATGGGTCGCCATGCGTTGTTTGCTATCACCTCGGGCATGTTCCGGTGCAGGAGGAAGCCGCTGGACAAATCCACAGTCCTGAGCTTGCAGCTGCCCAAGCCTTCTAGAACCCCCTGGTTCTTCGCAGGGAATGAGGGAATGAGGGCCCTATATATACCCTTTTAAGGGATTATGTAGGGCCCGAATTCCCTCATTTATTGACTAAGAACCAGCCAGAAAGCAGCGGTCCTGGGCTTCACCACACCATCCTTCACATCCCGCGACAGGACCAGGGCCAAGGCGTCATCCGAAAACGTTCGCAGGAAGGTCCCAGCAGCCTCAGAGCTTCGCTGGCGCGTGAGCTGCCGTGAGTGACCTCTCTCTCCCTCTCTCCCTCTCTCTCTCTCTCTCTCTCTCTCTCTCTCTCTCTCTCTCTCTCTTCATTGGCCTAGAAAACTGCCACCTGCAAACATGGTGGACCTCCATGTCTCCGGAGCCTGAACTGAATCCTACGAAGCTGAAATGCCCGCAGAATGTGCCCTCCTTGCCCGACCTCCTTCGCATCGACCAGGTCCGCGGGTCGGCAGAGCCGAGAGATCA